TTCATGGTTTTTGGACATTCACGAGTAATATTGAACGAATATCCGATTTTACATGGATACACAAAATGATCAAATAGATTAAGATTATTCACGACGACTATTCACGAACTTTATGTAATTAATGTTTATTGAATATTTACGAATTTATGTACCAGAACATTCGTTTTAAATTGAATATTGTGGTTATTCACGGATCCTACCTATAGCTATGATTCGAAAAAAGAATGAAAAAAAAACAATGATGAAAGTAAAACAACGCAATAAAGAACCAAGAATCGAATATTATGACTGAGAAGGAACCATTCATTATTAGTACTGAAGATAGCGAATCCAAATCCGTAATTTTAAGCACAAAAAAACTTTTCATGAGGTATAAAGATTTTTTTTTTATTATCGCTATGTTTTCATGTTTATATAATATATTTTATTATGTTTTTGGCACTTTGATTGTTTTGAAAAATCTAATAATTTTTCCAAACAAAAAAAATGGGGTTGAAGCATCGAATCGAACTTTAAACCCATCCAAAAAATAGTGGATGGCATTTAGGATTTCGAACAAGCAAAAGAAAACTTCCAAAACTTGCAGTGATCGTGACAAAAACACATTTACTGGCAGCATTTTAAGTTTTATACGTGTATTAAAAAAATTGATTTTGAATATAAATGCATTTAAATGTTTGAATTGAATGTAATCGACTTAAAAAAAAACTTCAATTATTTTTTTCAAAAATCTTGTGATTCTGTTATTATTGTGCTTAGATTGAAATTTAAAAACCGATTACGTACGTACGTACCGGTACATGATTTTGGTGGTGATACTAGGTGCGTTAACAATTCGTCATTAATTGGGTTTCAATTAATTTTATGATGATTTTAATTGATTTTAATTCGGGAATAACTTGATTAAAGGTTTTATTGCTATTTCCGCTAATCTGAAATTGAAAAAAGTAGGGTAGAAGGTGCTGTGCTTATTTTCCATACTTTACGGTAAAATAAGTTTAAAAGTTTTCAATAAAATTCTTTTTTATCGAAGATCGAAAATAGCTTCAAATGTTATTAATTTTATCGTTATGAATTCACTTAACCGTTGCATCGTAACGGTAATGGATGAAAATCAAAAAATAAGGTCGGACGATCATGTGACTACGCCTTCGTTGACGTGTCATTATCGAAATTATCCAAGTCTGAAGAACTTAACGCGCACCACGTTATATATTAAATAATAATTATTTAAACCGATTATATGCAATCATTCATTTTCAAATATTTTTTATCGATGATATCAAAGAAAAATTAGAAGATGCTGATTTTCTTTCGATCATATTATAAAGCATCAATCTTGCAATTTGATCCGTTTTGTTTAAATAAGAACTTCACGATTCGTCTATCTACCAGTTATTATTTAAATATTGTGAAACCTATACGTCATTATGGCTATCTTATCTACGCCTTTCACACGTCAACAACTTGTTAATCTTGCGCTTTTTACAAGTATTATAACTATATTATTGAATATAATTGAAGGAATACTTTCAATGTTCTTTGGAAGAAAAACTAATTCTGTTAGTTTAATTATCTTTGGAATTGGTTCTTTTGTTGAAGTGACATCTTCAATTTTTGTCTTATGGAGATTTTCAACTGAATTACATCAAGATACATCCGTGATTTCTATAACTAATAAGGATAAATTTATTGATAAAGAGCGTAAAGCTACTTTAGGAATTGGTAGTCTTTTTATTATTTTGGCTTTAGGAACGTTTTTACATTCTGTAATCTCTTTAACTCAAAAAAGCCATCCTGATAATACTATGGCTGGTATTATTATTTCTAGTATATCAATTGTAATTATGTTGACTATTTATTTTTGTAAAAGATATTTGGCTGTGAATTTGGATTCTTCCACAATGGCTTCTGAAGCTCAATGTTCTTTCGCTTGTATAAAAATTACCTTGGTTCTTTTTTGTAGTAGTTTAATTTATATATTATGGAAGGAAGGTTGGTGGGTGGATTCTGTTGCTGCTTTAATATTTAGTACTTTTTTTTCAAAAGAAGGGGTTGAAATGATCTATTGGGCTAATAGTGAAAAATTTGATGGTGGTTGTAATACTGATTTTGTCGAGAAAGTACATGATAATGGTGGTGATGATGAATCAAGTGGGACCGAAGGTGGACAGATTCATGTAACTGGTGAGATTGAAGTTGAACGAGTTGTTGAGAAAATGCATCAGGAAGAAACAAGGAGTGTTGAAACAAGGTGGTGGGGAAATAATGGTACGGATGTCGAATTGGAAAATGGTACTAGAAATGTAAAAAATGACTGAGAACAATATGGTGAAGTCCCTTACCGTCGCGGTAGAGCCGCGATACCAACAGGGTACACTTCATTGATTTTCACTCACATACTGTATTATCATTCTTTTTTTTTTTGGTGAATAACTAATTCGTTAACGCATTAACTTTAATGTTAGCATAAATTAAACTTGCGGATGCGACAAAAATCCATATGAAATTACTGATTTTTGAGCGGGCTTCTTTTTAAACGAAATTTTTATAATTATACGCTTCAATAATAAACAAAAATATACTATTGGCATTTTTTTATCACTATGTATATGTAAGTACGTACGTACGTCGAAATAGGATCTTGCTAGATTTAGAATCAGCTTAAGTTGATTCTAAATACACTTATTCAAATCGTTAAAGAATTTTGAACTAAAATTTTATATCTTCAATTTTAAAATTAAAATTGTTTGAATATGATTTATATCGCAAAGCCATTTATGCATACTCTAGTCATATATTCTAGCTACACTAATTATTACAAGCGTGATTGTTGAATGACAGCTACTTCCGCAAGGCAATAATGGTTGGTATATAATAAATTAACAACTGTCCACCTTGCCATTATAACATGCTAGCCCTAACCCTACGTGATGTCAGGAAAATGGGCGGCTACCAAGACTGTCCCTTCAGAATTGATTCATCTTTAATGTTTAATTAATGTAACGAGCACTAGAAATAAATAGTAAACTACTTGCCTTACAAGTGAAGTAAATCAGGAGTAAACTTTTTAGATTCTTTTGTATAGTTTTTAAAGCAATCTTTTATTAGTGAAATGTTACGTTCTCAAAAAGTATTCTAAAAAAGCGCATAAATATTACTCGGACAATTGATTTGATTTACATCAGCTGATCTGCAATGAGTGAAAAAAGCGCGTTCGAAACTTTAAAATATCTTTAGAAGCTTGTCTATTTCAAGTTTTGTGTAGTTTTTTAATAAGATGAACGGTTTCAAGGTTAATATAACTATATATTTTTATTATTTTACCGGACTCAATCCATAAAAATCTGGTCGGTGATACATAACTATAATACATAATTGAAAGCATGTATACTACTAGTTTCTTATCTTTAGATAACACGTCATATTTATATTTAGCGGACTAATATCTCAAAGTTAAGCAAAATCTATTCTTTAAACCAGATGCGAAATCTTAAGAATTTAGGATATTTTTGCAAATTAAAATAATAGTTTTAAATTGATCCATTCATCCTTTATTCATCAAAAAAGTGTCACACTTCATCGAACGTGACAAACTAGTCAGCACATGTGCTTTTAATTATATACGCTGATTAATTCAGAGGTTTGGTAATTTATCTTAATAAATAGGATCCCTCTAATCTTATTGAACAATTTAAAAAATGGACAAATATTCATAATATTCATTCGCTAAAAAAAAATCATTGAAGGTAATAAAATATCTCACAAAATACTAGTTGAGTCTCCTGAATTTTTATCTGATTCATCTTCGTTTAAATATTATAGTATTGAAGTTAGAATTACACCTTCGCACCTTAGCATCTCTTATCGAAGTAATTTGCAAAAGTGAAATTCGGATTTCACACGATTTAAGAGAAAAAATTTATGCCCAGCTAGGAAAATTTGCTGATACATTTTCGATCAACAGACAAAAATTTTAATAAGTTTTTAAGCCACAGTTTGATGATTTTAATCCACCATCAAAGTCAACTTCACCAGACTTGGCTATTTCAAATGATAATAAAATTTATAAGGGCAGAAAACGAATTCAACACAATGTGAGAGAAAAAATTTATGCTCAGTTAGGAAAATTTCGATCAACAGAATTTATGAACAAGGTTTTGATGAATCTAATCCACCACCAAAAGTCAACTTCACCAGACGTAATGATAATAAAATTTATAAGGGCAGAAAATGGAATTACAACATTGATTTCTTGTTGTTATACTTACGAGACATTGTATGAGAGTGAGTTAGGGGTCTGCAAACCGGGCTCGTGCCCATGCCCAACAAAAGTTACAGGCATGGGCATGAAGATTAGGCATGGACATAAGAATTTGCCATAGGCATGGACATGGGCACAAAAATTTGGCATAGGCATAGGCACGGGCACAAAAACTTGGCATGGGAATGGGCACAAAATTTAATATTTATTAATTAATTGTGCCTGACACTTTGCCCGGCACCTTTTTGGCACCTTTTTGCCTAGCATATTGTGCTGTGCCATAATAGTGCTGCCACTTTTGTGCTCATACCCATAAAATGCCTAGCATTTGTGCCCATGCCCACAGTAATGCCTGGCACTTTTGTGCCTTAGGCATGGGCACGGCATGAGGCACTAGTGCCTGGCCTGGTGCCAATATGCCCGGCGTGCCCACTTGCAGAGCCCTAATGAGAGTTGATGAAAATAAATTTTCAGAAGTATGTCATAGAATGAAAGAACTTTTTCGTATGATAATAGGTATTACTTCAGGACTTGTATAAAAAAAGGAATTCCAAATAATGCTGATTTACCTATAGACATTGGTGTAAAATTATTATTTAAACCTTTACGAGAGGCCTTGACTTGGAAATATCCGATTTCATCATGGTATTGTGAATGGAGAATATTACTTGAATTACATTTTAATATTCAAAATTTTCTTCAGGAATATTCACTTCTTTAAAATATGTGAAAGTATATTACTTGAATGCTTTGGCATTGTGTGTTAAAAAGTTGGTCAAGTCCGATAAATCAATCCAAATCTTTTGCAAATAAGAAACATTTTGTCAATAATCTTTTAGGAATGAAACCTCTTGCATTTCAACATTCTTTATGGTTTGGAGCTCTTGACATTGCACAAAAATTAATTGCAGAAACTCAAATGATCCAGCTTTACAAAGAGCACCTTCATTCTTTCATTCGCTTCAAAGCCATAGAAGTCCTAATTAAATTCTCAAAAAGAAATATGTTTTACAACATAATTGGCAATGATTTTGGAAATTATAAACAGTTTTTAGATTCAATAAAAGGTTTGAAAGCATCTTAAATAATTGAAGCGATTTGTGAAAAGTATTCTCAAGATGAAAAATTGGTTGATACTAACAAAAAATAATATAAATGATTTAAAAGAAAAAGTAAAAATCTGTTACAACAGATAGTTTAACATCTTCCCATACCATAACTCCAAGGGATAAATTGACTTCAGATATTATCACTAGAGAATATAAATTGATTTCAAATATTGTCACTGAAGAATTAACTTGTCCAATAACTTTTCAGATTTCAAATATTTTATCATGTAACCATTTAATTAGTCCTGAGCAGTGTTAAATATTTAATGTTAAAAAAAATTTGAGAACATTATATTTAAAATTATTTTCTCTTTTGAGAACCAACTAAGAACATAAAATTTATAATTTATGTTCTCATATGATATATAGAAAATATATAAATTCTCTTTTTTTTTTTTTTTTTTTTTTATCATTAAGAACACTAAAAAATTTATAAGAACATAAAATTATAAATTTATGTTCTCAAAGTACAAAAAATTTTTTTCAGATCTCTAACGCTGGTCCTGAGGCTTTGCAAAAATTATTAGCAACGGATCTCAACCAATTGTCAAAAAAATAATTGCTTTAAATTCCATTATTAATTTGCCACTATCAGCAATTTATCAAGGAATTCGCAAGTATTTATCCGAAGACGATAATATTGATATTGTTCAAGATCACATTTAAGTTATTTTTAATGAAAGTAGTGATGACGATGATGAAGAAATTGATATTCCTAAATTCTAAATTTAAACCACAACAAAAATTTAGAATGTCAGATTCAACAATAAAAAAAATTTTAAAGGCATCCAAACTAAAATTTCTTTATTCATATTTAAGAAAAAAAGATGACAATGCGTACAAATTGGATGAGTTCGAAACAGCATTTACAGAAATTATTGAACAATATCCACAAAGTTGATGTGATCAAGCAAAAGTATATATAGAATGTAATAAAATTTTAAGAAGAATTCAAAATTTAGATTCAGCTATAACTTAAATCAAGAATCAAATAAATTTGATGCTTATTTACTACGCAAGACAACATATTTTAAATGGATAAATATAAAGAATCACTTGAATATTTAACAAAATAATTGAAAATAGAGTCAAACAATGCATCTGCATTAAGATATCGTGATATAATTTATTATACAAAGAAGGAATATAATCAATTGCTTTTGGATTTAACAAATTTATTAGAATGCTGAACCAAATAATCCAAATAATGCATCTGCATTGAGATATCGTAGCATATCTTATTAAATGATGAAAAAATATAATAAATCGCTTTTAGATTTAACAAAATCATTAGAAATCGAGCCAAATAATGCACTTACATTAAGATATCGTAGTATGATATTATATGATGAAAGAATATAATAAATCACTTTTGGATCAAAATCAAGTTCATATTATCGTAAAACCAAAAAGGAATAATATTTTTTTCTTATATTCGCATTATGAAACAGCAATGTATTTTTTATTATATAGATAAAAATATTTTATTATTTGTGTATTGTTGCTCTGACAACAATGTTTTATTAAATAAAGAAAGGGGTTGGACCTACCATTTTTACGCGATTGTAAATTGACAAAAATACGAGCTTTGTTGCATGCTGATTGCACGTTATAAATAGCACACTTTGAGCAGAGGTGTTTATAATATCCTCCACATTGATACCCTCCATACCCTCATATTGATATCTTCAGCAGTAATCAGATCGACTTCTGTATTAGAGCTCTCTTGGTTTTCCATGGTAATGTTTTACAAAAAAAAATAACTATATAATTTCTTGCTTGTTTTTATAGTGCAGGTAAATGTCCATTCCTGGATCTCCACTAGTAATTGCGCACTGCATTTTGTCATTCGTTAATCCTATTTCATGATTATGCATACGCATCCCCAAATCTCATGCGAAATAAAGATTATCAAAATAAATATCCATACCTGAATATTGTTTTATTGGTATGTTAATAGAGACATCCAGAGGCGTGGAGCATGACGCGTGGAAAATAAATGCAAATCAAGTCAGAAAAAAACTGAAGACGCTTCTTTCGGTAAGAAATTTTACCGAATATCTGCGCATTTCAGGTCTTATTAAATCAATTGCATAATAATCACACGATACAGTGGCATAGTTAAATCACATGTTCTTATTGCCGGGATGCCGATGACGTTTTACTATGCATGATATCTAAACCACTTGCGTGATTCGGAGAAAAAAATAAAACTAGTACTAGCCAAATGAAATCGCAGAAAATGAGTTAGACGTTGACACTCGGAATCATCATTCATCATCATTACACCAATATTCTAGGACATTACTTATTTGGTATTATCCTCGCTTAAATTTGTAATAGATGTTGACCTCTCTTTGACTATGTCAAGGGCAGAGTCTAGTCTTTGCATCACTTTAATCACTAATAGCATAATATACTGTATTTTATGAAACAGAAAAATTTTTTGATCTCATTTTTCATATGTGCCATGGTTAACAGTTACACATGTTAAGTCTGCAAATAAATGCTTTATTAAGATTTATTCTATATACACTAAGTATAATCGTTATATGTGTGACTTTGATCACAAAGGTTCAGTAAAAGTTTATAAGCTAATAACTACTCATATTAAGTATATAACAACATCTCTTTTTTTTTTTGTTAATCACATCTTTGGTTTTCACTGTCTTTGGAGTCTCGAAAGTAGGAGTTGTATTAACTTTGGGAGGAGGCGTATAACACCCATCCTGTTCATCGGAGTCATCAAGGAAATTTTCAAGATTAACGTCATCTTTTTGGTTTATCAAGTCTAATGTCCGTAGAATAATAGTTTTCGCGCATAATATCTCCTTCAAGACCAAAGCAAGTGGATTTGATTTAGTTAAGCGTCCGGAAACTTCATAGAACTTCCTATGCTTGACACGAGAAATATATCCATTGGCTCCATGAAGAATCCCGATAACTTCCAATTTCTTAACAAGTTCTTCTCTTATATCACATACAGTAATAAGCTGTGCGATCATGTCCTTCATCATTTTATTTAGTTTTAAGGAATCATTCAAGTATTTAGTCCCGTCCTGTCCCTCCAATTTTCGGCCCGCCTCTATCGCACCAAATTCCAGGCGATCCCCACTAACCTAAAAACACCATCCCCTTTTCGGTCGAACTTCTTTCGATCATTAATCGTTCTGGTAAGATTCTTTCTATCACTTGATGAACAGCTCATGCCCTCACCACGCGCCAAATCAACGTTAATAGCGTGAAATGTCGGATCGATCAAGTTGCTCCAAACGTTCGTTTCATACCATCTCTCTAACTTCGAAGAATCAAAAAGGTTCTCTTCCCGATCCCATAAAAATAACATACTCCGGTACGCATGATTAATGAAATCGAGATCATGATGAAGACTTTTATCATATTCATTACCATCTGGTAAAAACGGATCATAGATAATTTTCCGCAATTCCTTTAACTGTGTATTTTATATTAATTTCCGAAGTGAGCGTTCGAGTTTTGGATTTTCGTGAACTCCCAAAGTAGTAATTTCTTTCCATTCAACATCAGAAAATAAAGATTTGAATGCAGACATGTCTCTCCAGGTAAATTTCTAGCAAACTCATAGATTACTTCTTCCACTTTTCGACCACTTTCAAGCGTCAATATACAATTTGGATCTAATTTAGAGTATGCTTCTTCGAATTTTACTAAGTCGACCTCGGAAATGATGTATTGATTTCAAGTTGCGTATCAAAATCTTGTGATTCATTATTACCAATTGCGGAAGAAACAGACATGTCCCCTACTTCTTTTGCCGATTCCAAAGGTGTATGAGATTGTTGTGAAAGAGAAGTCTCAGAAGAGACGTTCGTACGGGAATTAAGAGAAATTTCATCATCGATAGATTTTATTTCGCTGTCGGTTTCTTCGTTTAATGCTTGAGATTCAGTATAAGATGGTTGCGGTAAAGAAGTCTTAGAGGAGACGCCCGAATGGGAATTAGAAGAGGGGTCTTCCACTACTGTTCCATTAGTGGTTCATATCTACAAACGCCTCCAATATGTGAGAAGACATTTTTACGGGTTATTAGAAAGCTACAAATACCTTAATTTCCAGAGTTTCGCAACAGTTTCGTTTGTCAGCTCCTTTATCAAAACAATTCATGTCATCTTGTCTCTTACGTTTTAATAATAACCCAGTTTCAGAAGATGAAACTAAACGAATTTCTTCTGTTTCTTCATTTACGGCACGTATTGTACTTTCGGCATGTCTTAACTACTTATAATATTAAGTCGGTTTTTGAAACATTTATTTAAGTTACAAAACAGTAATTCACTGAACTTCTCAAGTTCGATTCTTTCCTCGTAGTTATTCTGGTAAATCGATAACCAAAATAAATTTACTGATGAATGTTTTTGATTAAACTCGCCGAAATACGTCGAAATAAAGTAAATAAAAATAGGTTAGAATATGCGTCGGAGAATAACCATTTAATGTAAAATATACTGTGTCATTTGTGTGGTATAAACTGATTAAGCGGAACATGCCATGCCCGTAGCTTGACAACAAACAACCGTGATCATTTGTCGCGACATGTCAATAGGACGTACCCTATTCAAGTACACCCGAAAAGCTCGTAGCCATTCCCAAGTCACACGTAGTTATTGGTTATTCGGGTTTTTCAGCACAACGAATGTGCTCTAGTACTTGAACCCACTAACCTTACCTACTATAATATGGTTTATTGTACTTACATCAAATTCATCGATATACCTCTTTGCTTTTTCGCGATGTTCCTTATTTTCGTGTTCTTCAGCTATATACTCTAGATTTTTGAAATAAAAGAAGTGCTCATCTGCTTTACTTGATCGAAAATCTTCCAGAGTCTTGCGATATTCCAAGTAACTAAATAAGCTCCAATCTTCATTATTTTGGAAATACTCAGGCGATCTTAATTTTAAAACGGACATATTTGCGCCTTTGTGTAAATAGTATAGAAGTTTTTGAGTAGAATGGTTAAAACTAATCAACGCGACAATCACCAAAAAATTTACGGTAACATGACCTGTAATTATTCATCACATGTGTCACATCCTTCTTGATTTACAATACGTGAAATCTTATTTGTCACATACTAACTGTCACGCCTTAGATTTCGGGTTTAGGAATTATGCACAATGCGGGCCGAAAGTCATGTTACCGTAAATTTTTTTGTGAGAGTTAATTTTCTGCTGGGCATGTGAGAATTTATACGACGAACTATTTCCGTTTTTTTACAATATAACCTGTAATATGTGGCACTTGTACACTGGCAATCATAAATAATGCATCAAAAAAAAAAATTCGTTAGATCAAATTTTCTCGCACAATTCCGCATGTATCCTTTTACTTTTTTTTTTTTTATTTGTAAATACTATCACTTTCATCAATAAAAATTTTTAAAAAAATTAATCAATAAAATTTTTTAGATACATGACTTTATTTGAATTCACATGCTGCATCTCTTTTGCTCATTTTTACAACAGCATGAACATAAAATACAAAAATTTTTTTGTATATTAAAAAAACAATTTTTTTTTTTTCTATTTAATTTCCCCACATGTTTACCACCACCCTGAGCTCTAATAACATTGTGAACTCATTCTGGCATTGAACAAATCAAGTTCATGCAGGTCTCAAGATCGATTTGCTTTCACACCACCTGAATTTTCTCCCAGAGGTCTCTTTCACTCGAAATATTGCCAGGAGCCTTCTTAAGCGACAGTCAACTTTGGCCCACAGGTGTTCGATCAAATTTAGATTGGGGACGCAGGAGGTAAACCAACATTTAGTTAAGGTTGCAGTATAGAAAGAGGCACTATCTTGCTGAAAAATTATATCTTGCGCCCTAAATCCATAATTCCTCATGGTTTTCAGAAGGTCATCACGAAGTATCAGCTAGTACAACTCACTATCCATCATACTGTCGATTTTACAAAACCCTCCAATGCCATGGGACATAAAGCAACTCCAGATCATAATGGAGCCACCCCATGCTTCACTTTTTGTTGTATGTAGAAGTGGTTTAACAGTTCTTTAGGATGCTTTTAGTAATACTGCTTCTTATCCAAGCCAAAAATTTGGAACCATGATTCATCTAACCAAATTACCTTTGACTATTCTTCAACAGACCAGTTTTCATATTTTTGCAAAAATTGAGCTGTGCTTTTTGATAACTAGTGCTTAGGAACAGTTTTTTTCATTTAATCCCCAAAATCAAACCATGCTTCCAGAGTATATAGTGAATAGTAGAAGCTGAAACTTCAAGATTTTTCTTTTCTTTCAGATGAGAGACCACCTGTATAGCTGTAGAGCAGTATCGAGAAATAATTAGGTTCACAATCTTTATTTGGGCTAGTTCACCCAATGAAAGTGGGTGACTAACCCTTTCTAAATCTTGGAGCATCCGGTTCTCAAGCCACCTTTTCTTGATATGGGAGACGGTGGAAAATGCAATATGGCAAGTCTAGCCTATAGCTCTTGTCATGTATCTTTTTTGTAGCAAGAGCAAGATTTGTGCTCTTTGGTTCTTTTTTTTGCTTTTTTGATTATTAATTAATTCCAACACTGCACAAGATGCAAAATCAGACAAAGAAAATCTATTTATAAAAATGTATCATGTAGTATACATAAGCTATCTAATATTAAACAATATTGACTCTTTCCGACGATCACTTAAACTATATTTTCTGAAAAACATTTTACTGCAAAAAGAGACCTTACAAGCCGGCACTTGATATACTAGACAGTAAGACAGCACCTGTCATTTAGAAGTAGTTCTCATGTGCTACTTGCTGACAGGCTCAGAGTTTATCACTCACTGCAAAGTCTCAGCACTTGTCGTTTAGAGGTAGTTCTTATATGCTACCTGCCGACAAGCCCAGAGTTTATCACTCACTGAAAAAATGTTAAGCAGGTGTTGGGCGGTGGGTTTTAACTATAGAAAAGAAAACTTACACTTCTTTAAATTAGTTGGAAGCTCAAGTGGTTCCTCTTTACCTCTCGTCATTTTTCTGTTAGTCTCCAAAAATTTTTTACAAAAAGTGGGGATTTGGCTTATCCCCTTCAAAAGATCAGCATTGTTTACTTACCAAATCCGGATGGACTGGTAGATAGCAACTACGTGTTTGAAGACGAATACGGTGCATGGGCCCTGGAATGAGTTCTGGTCAAAAAAAGGAATTCCTGGTGGCAGCACCAAGTGGCTTAAAATACGAGTACCCGAGTGATGGCGCCTTTACGGAAATGTCGCGATTATTGTTGTCGCTGGCGCTGTATATGGAGAGTTAGATCCTAATATAGCGGCAGCACTTGGTTTAAGATACGGACTAGATTATTAAAAAGATTCGGAAATAGGTTGGAGAGAATTTTATTGTTAAGTTTTGTCTTACAACAGAGATATACAAATGTTGCATCTAGTATATAATTTTTAAATCACCTAGCACAGGTTATAATAGTGTATTCGAATCGCTTAATTTTTTCTTTTTTCTGCTTGTTTTATCTATTTTTATTTATATT